AATCTGTCCATGGAGTAATTGCAACTCCTGTTCTGGTGAGTTCAGATGTTTCAAAAGCCCTGCCAAATGTAATAAGGTGAAGTGTTTTGGATGGCATGTTTCCTATCAGAGGACGATTATTTTTGATGATCTTAAGGCCTCAGGTGCATTCTACTTTTTGTTTTGTTATTTCTGTAACAGGAGAACAGTGTGTATCCTAGCAATAGTCTTTATTATTATCTAAAAATAGTTGTTTGTAAGAATAATATTGGCAAAAGTGTTATTCTCCTGTCTCAAAAATTTTAACGGATGGCTAAAATAGAACAGGAAATACAACTGTAACGAGCCTCAAGGTATTTTGAGAGAAAAACATGGCTAAAAAGTGGCTAGTGGTTTTGTGTTTTAGCATTCAAGCACCCCATTTAAAACACTTTTTTGAAGGGCCTGACTTTCAGGACTTTTTTTGAAAGTAGGACTTGCTAATGCCTCACCTTTGGTACTCAACGTCACTGGACACTTTTGAGAACGTAGGGCTCAGTGCACCATGCAATGGAGAAACTAAAGTATCGTCCCACGTGCAGTCTGGTAGCCCACAGCAAACGCGAGGTAATTTTACTTAGTTTAGCTCACAATGAAAGAGATGTAGTCTAAGATGAATGATTTAAAATTTTCTGTCATATTAGCCCATTTCTGTGGATAGTGCAGGGGCCTGGCTGACAAGAAATAACTTGTTGAATTTTGGCTGCTTGATTTTGTCTTTAAGCCTGTAGGCCAATAGTGGGCAACACGGAAAACTAGTTGGGCGTGCCTAGGCAAGAGGCATAAGTTCCCACATTTCAGAATAATTATTTTTAAGAAATCACTAAGCATGAGATGGCATTTTCATATATGCCCTATGAAGAAAGTGATAAAGCATGTTGCTGAAGATACAGAGAAACTTTTATAAAAAAATTGTTGCGTTATATCTTCGTTCTCCTTTAGCTGCGCTTCATATCAGTCTTGCTGTTGGTCTTGCATCCTAAAGTTGTTTGCTCCTTTTGACTGAAAATGGAAATAAGAAAAAAGCTGTGTCGCTTTCATTGTAGTTATTGCTGTGAAACTAAGCAATGGAGTTTAAGTAGAAAGTAGAACACTTAATACATATAGAAACTTTTTAAAAATTAACTTTTGTTTCTGAGTTGTGATACAAACAGGATAAGCCAGTGTTAGAAAGGAAAAATGGAGCCAATAAGGAGGGTTTCTGATTATAATAGCTTGTTTCTGTTTAATATCATTGAGCAGGATGAGGTTTTGCAGAGTTTCTCATGGAAATAGCATCCACAGTACTAAAATGATTACCTCATTCTTAGTACCAGTGCCAAGCACTTAGCCCCACAGTGAACACACGGGGTTGATTTTCAGCATGAAACAAGCCAGAAGTGTGGAATGACATTTTCAGGTGACAGTTATGGTTCTATTGCCTGTAATTAGCACCTCTTAACATGCAAACCTGCCTGTGCCTTTTCCAGGCTGTTGAAGCTCAAATACGAAGTTTTGGACAGACCCCTTCCCAACTGCTCATAGAACCACATCCTCCAAGAAGTTCTGCCATGCAGGTGGTAAGTACCATGTTAACTCTTTGTGACCTGCCATTTTGTTCGCTTCCTTTGCTATCGTAAAGTTACAGAACCAGCCGCTTTGCTTTGCTTTTATGTGGTCGTGGAGTTGTGTTATTAAAAACAGCAGATGAGTTACGATTTTGTAGGCCTAGGAGTGTAGGAAGTGCTTAACTATTGTTTTATTTATTGCTGAAAGGATTGTATTGATTTCTAGTACAGACCTTTTTTGTCAGTGTAATCTAAGCACAGTTCATCAGTTGATTTTGTTAATACCATACCTGTACAGGTGAGAGCCGGTCATCGTGGAGACAATTTAGTTAATCTTTGGCAGATTCCCCAAGAAGCATGGATTTAGGAGGTGGAACTTCCTTGTCTTTTCCCCCAGGCATAAGTTTTCCCCTAAACCCAGGATTACTAGGAATTCATGAGCTGAAACTTACATAGCAAGGAATGTGACTAAATGTGTTTTGCAGTAAAGCTAGGGTGATAAAATCCAGGCAGCGAGCATTAACATGCTTTCCCTTTTACCTCTACTTGTGTCTAATATAATTTTATTATACAAACTATTATTTTATTACTGATTACTTTCCATATCATGTTGTGTGCAGTCCTTGGGTCTAAAATATCATTTGTGTTGTCATAGATCCAGAACTAAGTATGTTAAGTGATACTCTGACAAGTGGAGCAAATGGTCTGCTAATTCACAAGTTTTTCAAAAGGTTACATTCCCTTATTGTTAATATGGACGTTTTACACTGAAATACAAAAAAAAGACATTTTCTTCGTGTATGTTCTGTAAGACATATGTCCTGCTCAAGCAGACTAAGGTTATTAGATTATAAACATCTGAAGTGCAAAAGGTTTTAGAAAAGTTACACAAAAATCTGAAACGTTTCCAAAGTAGCTTACAGACCTTGTGACGTAGGAGTCCAAGAAATGTGAACTTTCCTGTCAAATTGAGCTACTAGCCTTTCTCAGATGTGTCCTGTGTTGTACGTGGGACTTGCGCAGCTCGCTCTCGCCCCATCCCCACCACCCATTTCTGCAGCCAGTACGGACCACGCTGTGGCAGCTGTGCTGCAGCCATGCTCCTGCCCTGGCATCCCATGTACTGGGTGGACAGCACTGATTTGCGATCTTCTGGCCCTGGGCGCCTCCCACGTTGAGTCCTGGGGCTGCAGGCCACTGCAGTGACTAGTGTGTGCTACCCACGGGGCTCGCTCTTTCAGAAGAGCCCTGTTAACAGGGGTGCTGGGGAGCCCAGGGGCAACTCCCCAACTGCATCATACAGCTACATGCCATACGTGTGTCTGTCTGTCATGGTGCTATGCATGAGGCACTTGCCCTAATTTAGAGGGATTTGTTTCAGGAAGAGGAGGAACCTGAGAAGTTGATTGTTGACGTGTTTGTCAGAGCCATTGTTATTTATATAAATGTGATGCCAGGAAGCAGTTTGTGTGCTTTTATCATAATATTTTTCATGATGCTGAAATGCTAAAGATTTAGTATGTAATGGAAGAAGGTAAATTCTATGAAGTTAACTGTTTCTAACTCCAGTGGGTTTTTTGGGCTGAGGTACACACAGAAAAAAAACCCCTTAGCTCTCCACTTGCTTTGACCAGTTTTGTGGTTATTAACACAGGATTGCATAATAGCACTATAATAAGTGGTTTTAAAAGTAGTATCCCTGGAGCCGAGATACAGTAAGGATGGTTTTCCTGTCACAATTCTGAATTATTTCTAGTTGTATTATTTACTGAGTTTTCTGTTTTCATGTGTGTGTGTGCATGTCTGCATGAATACAGCTGAATTGAAAGCTACCACGTGCTGTGTTAAGTGCACAAGCCATAATATACACCAGGTGTAGTAATTAGCAGTCACACGAAGGCTGCCTATTTGTCTGGTTTTTCTGCTGTTGCTGTATCCCCTTGTGTTTTCAACCATCAGATAGCTGGATTTAATTGAGGCCACATCAGATGAGGCATTACTGACACCTTTAATTGAATGAGCATCCAGGGAGGATTAACTCATAATATTGATTGGCTTTTAGCCACTTGCTCAGAAGGGTGTCTGGGTAGCTTATTAGTTGCTTTTATTTACACCTTTATGCAAAGCCTGTAAATAGGAATTCATAGAGCAATATGTTTTTCTAAGTACTCTTAATAACTTTTTAAAAAGGAGTGATAATAAAAATGCAAATGTATTTAATTTTTTTATTAGTTCTGTATAAATGTACATTAAATGTATGCACTTACATACACATATATGTAATGAAATATTGCAGGTGGAAAATAGCCAAGAACACTTCATTAGTGTTCTAATTCAGTTATTAGAAAATTACAAATACTAGAGCAACATGGCTACTGGTGACGAGGATGGTTGTATTTCTACATCTCAGTGGAGCTCTGTTTTAGGTGCACCACACAATCACAAACCCATTAAGTTTTGCTTCTCCTCCTTATGTTTGATATCTGGACCTAAGGTCCTCAATATTTTGTTTCGACATTTGCAGTATTGTTAGAGAGCTTAGTTTGAAAGTTATTGAACTTTTCAGCTTATTAAATTAAAAAACTAAAACCTAAAAATACTATATTGAAAATGAGAGTCTGGATTCATTCCCTCCCTTTAGTATTTCTAGAAACAACACAGGATAGTGTCTGTAATCACGTCCACTTTATATTCTTTACAACTGCATTTAATTATGTTTGTCCTTTGAAACACATTTGCAGTGAAGTCTTCTACTTTGCATTCATAAATCTTATTTTTGTACACCAGAAATATATACAGAACATATATCTAGTGTATGTGTGTATCTGTTTATTTTAATGTGCTTTCATATTCTCATCTGGCTTGTAAAGAATTGCAGTCTGCCAATTTAATGCAACTTGAGACAATCTCTGGGAGCAGGAATTTCTTTGGCCACTTTATTTATTTATCCCCCCCCCCTCACCCCCCCGGTTTGGCATTGCTTTCCTTGACATACTATCTCTGCAGATATGAAGGAGAATTCTTTTGGCAGATATAGGTGATTGGAAACTTTTAGTTTAATCTGCTGTGATCTGTAGCAAAATTTGTATATAGACACCCTGTGTTCAATAAGGCCCTCAAATTAATAGTGTACATGGAGGTTTTTCTACCTAAACCAGTTGTTTCCACAAGCCTGTTCGCTACTATTGCATTTGCTTTTCACTGCAGCTGCTATTGGATCTTGCGTGTTTTAATCCAATCTTCCTTCTCTTGTCCTGTCTTTTTTTCTCCTCCTCATGTTTTCTTTTCCTGTGTATTTGGGTTTTTGTTGTGTGCACTCAACAGTATCTCCTCCTGCAGAGTCCGTTGATGTTCACAGACCAAGCTCAACAGGACGTTATCATGGTTCTAAAGTTCCCATCCAACTCCCCTGTCACTCATGTAGCAGCCAACACCCAGCCTGGTCTGGCCACTCCTGCTGTGATCACAGTTACTGCAAATAGGCTATTTGCTGTAAACAAGTGGCATAATCTTCCTGGTAAGTAAATTAAAGTAAGTAGCCTAAGAAACTACTGACATCAAGCAGTACTTCTGTTGTCTGTTTCAAAATTTGTAGGAGAGCTATTTTAAATTTAAGGTGTGAAGAGCAAGTCTAGTTCCTTGACACATCTTGCTCTTCACATGTGGACTTAGTTTCTCCTTTAAAAGGTAATCTGACCTATTGTGTAGTAAGATGTGTAGCACACAAAAGTTTTGTAACAACAACATATTGCTTTCCAGGCCATCAGGCGCTATGCAAGAAGACAAAACCAGCGTATCACTACTTGATCGTGATAAAGTCACACTCTTCCTCTTGAATTTGTTTTTCAGTTAGATGGAAGCCTGAACCTTGTCATGTCAAGGAAAAGTTTTAAAGCATGTAGAACTTGCCTGAAATCTTCTCTGCTATCTTTTTCTGCTTGATTATGACTGCCACATTCTGATGTTAAACCCACTCAATGAGTATTAGAAGATAAAATATATGGGAAGTCTGTATCTTCTGTAACTTAAACATCCCCGAGTTACTAGGTGCTTATGTATTTGTCAATATGAAAGGAAAACAACATATCCATTTACACAGCAACCAATCAAATTAATTTTCCTTTAAAAATGCGTTGGACTTGAGAATATAGTCATTCTGTTTTCAATTCTAATGTTCTCTAATCTTAAAGGCACCCATCCTCCTTTCCCTGACTATGACAAGCTCAGGCCCAAGCCGTGAAAGGTAGCTTATTTCAGTGCTACGCAGTAAATCTGGTCAAAGGGTTTTCAAGAAAGGGAAAATAGAGCTTCTGCTCAAATAACTTGGATAGAAGATAGTTGCACCAGAGTAATACTCACACCACGGAAATTCCTACTAAGAAATCTGGACCTGTGGTTCTTGGTTACATTTTGAAAAAAGCCAGATGACTCCCACACTTTTTCCTAATTCTTATAAATTATCTCTCAACATTGTACAAATAGAAACATCTATGTAGTATTTCCCCCACCCAAGAAATGCTTAAAAAGAAAGGCGGGAGGGAAGGGGGGAAGCGAGGCTTGTCTAGATAACAAGTTGTGAGCAAGAACTATTTACAGGGCTCTTGACGTTTGTTTGAAAGGAGGATGGCAATATCCTCTCATAACTTGAATGTGTGACCTTGGGCATATTGTGTTCGAGGCTTTTAAAAAATAGCCTTTGTGGACATACAAGAGTCATGGGAAAAGAAGAGGTTCTAAAGTGGTAGGAGTTGATTTTGATTTCCTCCTAAGTCTGCTGGTTGATGATCTGAGACCAAGCAACCAATTGTTGAATGTAGTAATCAACTGTTTCAAGTTGAACAAAGCCTTCAGATTACAGTTTTTACCTCACCTATGAAAGGGAGAACAGTAACCTGTGCTTTTGAGTCCCTATTTTTTCATTTAGAGGCATTTTACCCTTGTCTTGCCTTTACAAAGAGCTCAAGAAAACCTACAGTTCAAGACAAACAAAAGCCAACCAAACAAACCCCAAACCCAACAAAACCCCACCTCACCCCACCGCTTTGAGAGCACACTGATCAGCTGCAGGCTGTTAATGGAATACTACTCGGGGTGTGGACTCCTGAGAGTAGCCTTCACTATTGTTGCCTTCAAATTTTGTACCAAAATGGGATCTGCCTGGGATTAGAGGGCAGGTATCATTACTGCTCCATATCTCCTGCTGTGGGCTTAGCATTGTCTTTACTAATGAGGCATCATGATAAAAAAGTTAAGCTGCCAAGTGACCAGTTGCCTGCTTTTGTGTTTGGGTTTGGTGGCTTTGCTGACATCAAATGGCACTGGTACCCGACAGGGTGCCTCCATTTTGTCACATGGATTTCATGTTTTGTTCTGTCTTAGTGTTTTGTTGCAGCAGAACTTTGACTTCCCGCATACTTATGAAACCCTTCTTCTGATACTAGTTTTTATAATAAGCTATGGACGGTAGATAGAAAAATCATAGGTGTAAGTATTTAGCCATTATTTTTTGTTCCGCTTCCAAGAATGTCTTGTGGGCTGGTGGGGGGAGAGAGTTTGCTTGCTTTCTTGTTTGTTTTTAGTGAGGCTGTGGAAAAAGAAGGCTTTTTTTAACACTGAAGGAAAATTCAGGAGGTAAACATTTCACCGGTATGCCAGGTGCCCAGATGAAATGTAGGTCGGCAGAATTATATATTAACTTCTATGCAAACTTGCAAATAAATGGGTTTTGGTGATGGATGAATCCTTAAATACTGGATGACTATGAGATTTCCCTGTCTGCATCATAAACTGACTTTAAAAAAAAATGTCCTTTGTGCTTCACTTGTTCAAAGCAGTGCTTTAAAAAGTAAAGAGGAAAATAGTATTTGCTACAGTCAGCAGATGGTTGTCACATTTTGTTTTCAGTGCTCTTTACCACTTAATTTTGTTTTGTTGCGACAGGAGAGGTTGCCAGTAAAGCATCTGCTAGAGCTTATGGCTCAGGACCGGCGCTGCTGCTGATGGCATACATTCAGAATAGCACTAATCTAAAATAAATGTTTAATAAGCAGTCGGCAAAAGCACCTGGATTATTTTTTTTTTTAATTCAGTTGATGCAGAAGAATCTTGAATAGTTGAAAAAAAAAGGACATAGCTTTGATTTATAAAATGTCTGTGGCTTCACATATGAAAAAAATGCAGAGTTTTAAAATCTTCTTTCCTGAATTCCAGCTCATCAAGGTGCTGTACAAGACCAGCCTTACCAGCTGCCAGTGGAAATCGATCCTCTCATAGGTCTGTCACTTCCTTCTCTCTTTGCGATTCATTAAGCTCTGTATGGTGGCCCTGAAGATTCCTGCTTTTGTGTATGAGTTTGGTGGCTTTGCTGACATCAAATGGCACTGGTACCCGACAGGGTGCCTCCATTTTGTCACATGGATTTCATGTTTTGTTCTGTCTTAGTGTTTTGTTGCAGCAGAACTTTGACTTCCCGCATACTTATGAAACCCTTCTTCTGATACTAGTTTTTATAATAAGCTATGGACGGTAGATAGAAAAATCATAGGTGTAAGTATTTAGCCATTATTTTTTGTTCCGCTTCCAAGAATGTCTTGTGGGCTGGTGGGGGGAGAGAGTTTGCTTGCTTTCTTGTTTGTTTTTAGTGAGGCTGTGGAAAAAGAAGGCTTTTTTTAACACTGAAGGAAAATTCAGGAGGTAAACATTTCACCGGTATGCCAGGTGCCCAGATGAAATGTAGGTCGGCAGAATTATATATTAACTTCTATGCAAACTTGCAAATAAATGGGTTTTGGTGATGGATGAATCCTTAAATACTGGATGACTATGAGATTTCCCTGTCTGCATCATAAACTGACTTTAAAAAAAAATGTCCTTTGTGCTTCACTTGTTCAAAGCAGTGCTTTAAAAAGTAAAGAGGAAAATAGTATTTGCTACAGTCAGCAGATGGTTGTCACATTTTGTTTTCAGTGCTCTTTACCACTTAATTTTGTTTTGTTGCGACAGGAGAGGTTGCCAGTAAAGCATCTGCTAGAGCTTATGGCTCAGGACCGGCGCTGCTGCTGATGGCATACATTCAGAATAGCACTAATCTAAAATAAATGTTTAATAAGCAGTCGGCAAAAGCACCTGGATTATTTTTTTTTTTTAATTCAGTTGATGCAGAAGAATCTTGAATAGTTGAAAAAAAAAGGACATAGCTTTGATTTATAAAATGTCTGTGGCTTCACATATGAAAAAAATGCAGAGTTTTAAAATCTTCTTTCCTGAATTCCAGCTCATCAAGGTGCTGTACAAGACCAGCCTTACCAGCTGCCAGTGGAAATCGATCCTCTCATAGGTCTGTCACTTCCTTCTCTCTTTGCGATTCATTAAGCTCTGTATGGTGGCCCTGAAGTGTAGATTACGGTTGTTTTTCACTTGCTGGTTGCTGGGAATGGAATTTTCCTGATAAACCATTTGCATGCAAATTGGAATGCAATGAGCTGTGGCTATGCTGGTATTTCATCAACTCCCCCTCGTTGGTTTGCCTAATTTGAACAGGCCTAGGACGCGTGTCAGTGAAAATTAATATGGATGCTGTAATAATGTGTGATTGAGAATGTGCATGAAGTACTGTCAGGATAATATTGGATCTTTTCATCACTCAGACTTGTTGATGAGCAGGAGCGAGGCACGTTATGATGAATTGGTGCACTGGTAATGTGATGGAGCTCCTTTGCCGAGGAAATTTTCATAATAACAGTGGGGTTCTTAACTGCACTGTGTTGTGAAAAATAAAACCATGGTGCCAGGGTTTCATCATTAAAGGAGATCAATCCTTTCTTTAGAGACCTGCTGTTCAGGCTGAGGGGATTAATGTGTAATTGCAAAGTGGTTTCAAAGTTGAAATATATTGCCCACTCGGTTTTAGTATTGAGATATTAGTATTCATTTTTCAAGGGTATTGCATCTTTTGATCAGCATCACTAGTTAAATTTGTGTATGTTTACTTTTATTAAAAAGGGGTGGAGGAATGTCTCTCTTTTATTTAATGACTCAGTGTAATAAATTCAATTCATGACTTTTTATTATAGAGGTTTATTAGTTTATATAGAGCTGATTTTTCTATTAGCATGGTTAGAGTTTGGCCAGTTCTTTCATTACAGATCCAACTTTGGGGAGTGAATACTTGGACTATAATTCAGGAGCCTGTAGGATGGCAAATGAAACCTTAAACTTGATCAAAAAAACCCTCAAACAACCTAACCCCAAAATACAAACTAGTCGTAGGACAGTTCACAGGAGCAAAGAAGACAGGATTTCCGTGGGGTCCCCCCGCCGCCTCCACAATTCTATTAGACTTCAAACTTAGCTCGGTTTTTTAAACTGTCCATTTCAGGATGGTAGTTTAAGTGAAAAAGAAGTGAAGTGGCCAATAGTAGAAACATGGAAAAATCAGAGCAAAAAGGAACTTGCCTGGTTCATTCATTCATAGGTTAGCGTGACAGGTCTGTTGGCCAGTGAGAACTAATGTCAAAACTAATATGCCTATCACAGTAGGAACTGCGTTGTACGGGTCTGTAGATACAGGCTGTTGCTGTGTAGCCGTTTTGCTGGGTAAGCTCTATGATAATTAAATCAGGAACAGTGTGGGCATTTTATAGAGCTGATAAAATGTTTTTCCAAAGTTTTAAAAATCAATTCTCATCTGAATAATTCAATACTTCTAATTTATAATGAGGAGGACATGCTGTAACTCTTGCTTTCCTTCCGAAAATAGATTCTATCCAAAAAAATGTTTGGAGCAGGAAATGCATATTCTGCTTTAAATCCTGATACCAAGTAGATCTTAAAAATATAAATAAACATCACAGCAAAAAAACCCCAAAATCATGTTGGGCTGATGTCTGATGATTTTTCTACATATTGTGAAGAACATTAGGAAAAAAAAAAATTCATTTGCATTTTTTATAATTTTAAAATTATAATTCCATTTTCTGGCTTGCCTTTAATTTACAAAATACTTTTACTTCTGTTTGGTATAAACACCTTTAAAATTAATGTTCACAGTTCTGAAAGATGTTTTAATAGTCTCTTCATACAATAGATCTCAAATCAGCCTTGTGATTACATTGGACATAGTTTAAAAGGTTTAAGGCTTTCTTTGTCACTGTTAAGTAGATCATTGGGTACAAGCAAGTAATTATGTAGCTAATATTAAAGGTTTTTAATTGTGGCTAGACACATTTACCTAGAAATGGCACCTAAGAGGACCACAAAATTACACTTTTATGGTTATAGCAGGAATCTTGTTGCTGTCTTGGTCATGAGGAGGGGTTCCTGCTGTCTTCATTTTCTAGTTGCACAGGAGGATGTAATACAGCAATATCTGATATGACATAGATCCCACACCTCTTTTTGAGGTGAAGTTTTCTGACGGTCTTATTCCCACTGAATGTGTTGATCCGCATGTTTTTGGGAGTATTTATTTGCCATTATTTTGTCATACAGAATGCTTCTGTATAATGCTGTGCTGTGCATTTATAATGCATTGTTTTTACTCTTTATGTGGTCCCAACGGCGGTCAAGGCCCCGTTGTGTTACCTGCAGAGCAAATGGCAATACCTCGCTAAATTATTTGCTATCCATATGGACAAGAAAGTATCAACATTTTAAACACAGTGAAAGCATAAATAAATTAAGGATTTGATATAGAGTAAATGGAGTAAGTCCAAGGCTTAGGGGGTAGCTAGCCTGTGAGAATGGAAAGAAATTAAAGAGTAAAGAGGAACACAAGACCAGGACAGAGACGCGTCTGGGGGACCATCTGGAATGGAAGTAATGGTGCTCCAAGCAGTCGGCAAACCCAGGCCCAGGAGAACTTACTTGCCTGGGATGGGAGTCAGGTTCCCTCAGGACCAAAGCATGTTAAAAGATCTTCCTACAGTGTAGGATTTTCATGATACATATCTATAGGGACACACACACATATATATATATATATATGCACACACATCAATTAATAAGGACAAAATATAATATGTTTTCTCTCAACTGTAAAGAAGGTTGTGGAAACAAGCTGGTTAATTTTTGTGCAATGCTCAAAAAAGTGTGAAATGGTAGTGATATTTACTGCAGTCATTCTTTTTTTTAAAATTACAATGCTTGCAATGAAATACAACTTGTGTACGATTTTGAAATCATAATTCTGTTGTCTGCTGCATTTGAGCCACTATATAGCATATACGTATATATACTGCCTTACAATTACATTCCCTTCGTTTGTTTCTTAATTTTTAATTTCCTATACTAGAAGAAGGGGGGAAGGAAGCTTATTACATTTTTATGTAACATTCCTTTTTGCAGTCTTTCATTTATATTTGTCAGCTGCATTTGACTTAAATAAGGGATTTCTTCTATTTTAGAATATATACTACAAGGAATCAGCATTGTTCCCAGAAGTGTAATGAGTGTTTTATAGCAAAAGTAGAAAGAAAATGCCCCTGCCACAAAACCCCACATAACAGCAGTCAGGAATAGTTTTGGTGTGAATGTAAGTTTCTAAAATCTGCTTTTGTTCTGTGAATGCGAATGCTAAAATTTTTTGCTCTTTGTGTCTTTCTGTTCAGCCAGCAACACAGGTATGCACAGAAGGCAAATCACTGACCTCTTAGACCAAAGCATTCAGGTACATTCCCAGTGTTTTGTCATCACCTCTGATAATCGATACATCTTGGTCTGTGGCTTCTGGGATAAGAGTTTCCGAGTTTATTCTACCGACTCAGGTAATGTATTTTTAAAATATGGAAATAGCCTAAAAGATTTTTCTGTTCCTCATCAACCTACTGTTTCAAATAAAGAAAGAACGGGGGCTGGGGGGAGAAAGTGGAGAATGTATTTATTCCCCTATTAATAATATTTGTCAAATCTTTTCTTACCTACTGCTACTGTGTATCGTATGCCATCATTTTTGTGGAATGATGGCAGATGTAAGACAAGGAGCTCTTGTTTAGCCATAGCATCACACTTCAAATCTACCTGACAGGCATGCCTATTCTTACACTGTAGTTTCCACAAGTAAATGAGTTTTTGTGAAGCTTTGCATACCAGGAGAAGTAATTGTTCTTAGAGTGCTTACTTAAATTTAACTCTGGTTGGTTTTCAGCACCAGAGAATTTTTATTTTTTTTTTTAGGAAATGCAGGCAAGCACCACAGAATGAGAACAGAAGTGAAGTCTTGAAATCTGGTGAAAGAATACTTATGAAAGCCTTTGAAAGCTATACTATAACAGAAAAATTGATTTGGAGCCCCTGAATTCTTTCATATAATATAAACTGATTGATATAATGGGCAGCAGTTAAATTAGTCTGTCAGCTGGCATGTATCCAAACCATTGAAGTCACGCATGTGTCATGCTAAATAGCAGAGAATCTTTCAATGTAAGAGCTACAGGAATTTAAATCCATGAAGCCCCAGAAAAAAATAGGTATGATTTTTTTCCCTTTCATTATCTTATAATGGGAATAGCGACCTCACTGCAAGGTACTTCTTTGGGATTAATGGCCCGGTGTAGTTAATGTGTGTGTGCCATCAAGCTTTCCAGTAAGTTATTAATCCTTAGGGAATATCCTACATGTTTGTCATCATTTCTTAAATATATTAGTTAATGGTGTTTTTCACACTTGGCAAACCAAAATGTTTAACAAAACAGGATGGTCTTTAATGAAAATCTGTTAAGACTAGATCTCATGGCATATTTTAGTCTATCTGTCATTTTTGCAATTTTAAAGCCTTAAGTATAAAGAAGTTCCATTTACTTCATACTGACTGCCTACAATTCATTATACAGACAGCTTGTTAGACCCTTCTTAGTTTAATTTTCTCATTGATGAAAATAAATTTACATAAAACTGGGAATTTAAAGGAGTCTTCAGAAAAGTTAGCTAGCAGAAATAAACATTCCGTGTATATTCTTGATTACATGAATAGAGAACTAATTCTTTTATGTTGAAGGATAGATTTTACTTTACACCTGTGGAAGGAACTTCTATGATTTTGGTAGCTTTGTCCTATAGCAATCTGAACTACAAATATCTCATTAGGTTATGTCCTCTGTGTGTAAGTCAGATACACCAGGCATCTCATTACTACCATAGCTAATTATGGTATAAATGAAAATAGAGTTGTCAAAAACATTGCAGAAGATTTGTGTCTTCTGAGTGTCTCCTGTTTGTCAATATAGCAATTTCAGCTCTAGCTGAAATCAAGCAAATTCAGGTAGTTTATTTTTCTTTGAATTAAAATGAGAGTATAGTAGTGGAATACTTACTCTGAAATCAGCAGAACAGCAAGGGAAAAAGATGACGTGATCAGTAATGCATAATTGCAAGCGATCACAGGGGTTGAATTCAGTTATATTTTAGCACTTGCACAAAAAGGGAACCTTTTTCCTACCAGATTTTGGGTTGGTTTGGGTTCTTTCAACAGGAAGTACTTTTGACATATATCATGGATTCTCAGCATGGCTAGTATAGCATAAGCACAATAAACCTTCCTCCAGCAGTGGCAATGATTTCTAGACAGCATCTTAGATTCAGTAGTGCAGAGACTTGAGTCTTGTTTTTCTTTTAATTATTTGTAGCACAGCTGTCAAATAAAACATTAACTAGAAAATTTGTTTTGTCAAAAAAGGGATATCTGAGTGCATATGTTAAAGTTTGATATTACTGCGTAGAGAGGACAATTCATATTAAAGGAAACAAAAAAAGTGAGGAACTCTTACGAGATTAATGTTTTGCTTGGGTTTTTTTTTTTACTAATATGAAAGAGCAAAAGCTTATTTCTTGTTTTGATGAAATTCGTTGAACCTTAGCTGCACAGTAACAAAGTAAAACTAACAAGGCCGTGCAACTACATGAACAACTGTCAAACAAATAGCCTTGAAAAATGTTTGTTTTCTAGAACAGAACCTATAAACAGAATATAATTGAAAGAGAGATCTCTATAACTCAGCGATGTTTATAGCATAAACTTGTGTTCTGAAAGTATAAATCACCTCAGGTAGTTGAATACCTATGGCTATACAACTGAAGAATATATCACATAATTAAGTTATTCTCAAATCTAAACTATGTAGATGACAACTTGAATTTTCAAGGAAAAACATACACTTGGTGAGATGGTTTTGCATATTGCCAAAACGGGGTTATGGAGTCTAGAAGTGTTTCACTGCTCCTAGCTGTGAAGTTCAGTAACTTTTCCTAACTAAATCTGGTGACTGGCCAGCATCTGAGACAGTGAGGTGGCCCTGCGGCACTAATTAAAGCCCTGGCGTGCAGAGGTGGTGGCTATAGAAGGCTGTTACAGACTCATAGCGGTGAGTGAAAGACGTGATCCCTGAGTTGCTCTCCTTTCCGAGACAAGGTAGATCTGCGCAGCAAGCGTACCTTCCAGGGGTTTGCCCCTGCCAGTAGGAAAAGGCATATTTTGTAATTCCTCTTGGAGAATTATACTTGCCTGATAAGTTTTGTCAGTGTTTTATTTTAAATCCGATGTACAGGTTTCCTTTAAATTGCATCATGTTATTCTATTTTTTCTTCACGTACTAAAGTAATTCCCCCTTTTTGTAGACATTCATACCTTTCTCTTGTTTTTTTTTCTGTTTTTTTTCCACTTTAATGCAATTGCCTTTTTGATCTTCTGTTACAAATCAGGCTCTTACCAGAACCACTCCCTTAAGTCTTTTGTTACCGTTAGCGTTATTTAGTGGCTGGATACAAATACAATGCCTTCGTACTGCGTAGAAAGAGGGCTATGAAATGTGTCCTGCTAGCCGTATTATATGATTGACTAATCGTTTTTAACTCATGCACCAAAATATTTTATTAAGATATGCTTCATTTGAATCCCAGCACTCATTTGTGTTGCTACTTGTCATGTTACTAGTTATTTTTAAAAACTTTTCAGAACATTTTATTTCAGGTACAGTAGTTTGCATTTCCTATTTCTTTTTTGCCCTATGTTGTTAATCCTTCCAAAGCCATCACTCTTTTCCCCTTCTGTTCTTCCTCATTCTTTATTCAGCCCAAAGTGCAAATGGATGCACGGTCATTTGGGCTGAGGAATCTGAGGTCACACATGGATGGCATCACACTTCCTTGTGTCACTGGATGTAGAATTTGGCCTGGTCCATGTTACCTGAATCAGCCAAGCAGTCACATAAGAAATATGTGTGTGTCTCTCTTGTCCTGTCCCTACAAGATCTGCAGTTGCTAGCCTTCAGCAAACCCAGTGAGATGGATTTTAGTGCTTACATTCTCATTTTGTAGGATCACGTATGCTGCTGGCAGATCCAGAAACTGGCAGGACACATGGCATGTTTGCGGTGTAGGAGCCACTCTCTGGCAGGGTGGTCCAGCAGAGATCTGCTTTGGGTGACCTTACATGTGTTTGCTCTCCCCATGCAAATCCACTACGCATGAGCATCCAAATTCACACTTTTCTGAAAATATTGCCCTGTTTAGTTAAGATTAAAAGGTAACAGTCATGTTCATGTCTATACAGACTCTTGAATGGCACGTTTTTAACTGCCTACGCTTTCCTTTCTTTTTAACATTTATGTCCCTTATCAGCGGTACAAACATTTGTCCTATATGCAGCAGGTAAGGGAGTTTTTTCCAGGTCTGTCTTCTAAGGTTTTTTTGAACATTACTGAAATTCTTAAAAGGGAAGGATGCTGGTTGAAATAAATGGCAAGTATTTAAATGGTGATGGAAAAACCTGGGTACAAGAGTAATTTTTCATCTAAATCTTCTTTTCTCTGTTTAAGGAGATGCTCAAAAGCTGCATATGCTATATGCACATGTATGCTCTCACACTACCAATTTCTTCTGGGTCCTACATGTTCTGTAGCTTCTTCTGATTCTGTTTCCCACTTCATCAGCAGATTTGCATTTTTACTGTTAACTTTCATCAGTAAACTTACCTTAAACTTGCCTTAAAAGAGAATCCCATCATGTTTCCTGTCTGTAAAGTAAATGTAAACATATAGAATTAAAAAAACCTTTTGGCATGATTGGCCTTGAATAAAGTATAATATTTATGGACTGTAAATATTTTTTTGTATGGACTGTATGGACTGCTGCACTTTTAAGTAAGTTTCCACCAAATGAAGAAAAAAAAAAAAGTACTCTCCACTGTAGTTCTTTTTGGAACCTTTTTTTAATAAAGAAAATATTTCTAAAATACTTTATAATGTATTTAATTTACCTTAGAAAGAATAAAAGCATAGTTTTAAAACAATCAATTTTATGTGTTTCAGGTAAACTGATACAAGTAATATTTGGACACTGGGACGTTGTAACCTGTCTTGCTCGGTCTGAGTCCTATATTGGAGGAAATTGTTACATTCTCTCAGGATCGCGTGATGCAACGTTGCTGCTCTGGTACTGGAATGGCAAAACCAGTATCATTGGTGATAACCCAAGAGGTAAGCAAAACCAGAAAAACCTGGTTTGTAAGGACGTTGTCTAACACTGGCCTGAGCGAACACTTCGCATGACAAAGTTTTAGGTAACATTAATGTCAAAGTACAGTGTTTCTTTTTTTGTAGTTGTGATCAGTCCTAATTTAAAGAATCGAGGGTAAACAGTGCTTGCTTTGCAGCACAAGTAGAACTAATTTTTAAAGTTATAGGACGCTGAACACTGCAAATACTTTTTTTTTTCTTCTCACTCATTCAATTGGGAAGGAGTGGATCCACGAGTGAGAGAATGGAATTCGGTTTTTGTATTTCCTGTTCAATATGAGTAGATCTTTTTCTCTCAACATGATGATTTCATTAAATACCTGTACTTGAGTTGTTTAAAACAAAAAAAGCTGTATATTGCTCCGGTGCAGACTGTATTCTATGCATCTGTAATCTTCTGTGTATAGGTTTCTACTGTGAGAGAGTTATCAATAGCTCAATCTATGGAGCTATCAATAGAGTTACTCAAACAGTGAATTTTAACTTAGACTAAGGTCATTGTAATGAGATGTATGACGGCCCAAGCGGGACACCTAGGTGAAAGAAGGACAGACATGTGGGATGGATTAAAGAAGCAAGCTTAAAACTTTTTCGTTTAACACTTTGGTAGGGTGCTACGTGCCTAATCCTTGCTCTCATGTACTAGGCATTTTAATTGGTTCCAGTGCAAGCAACAGGGCTCGTACCATATAACCAAACTAGTAAGTCAGTAACCCTGCTTCAGCCTAACTTGCTTTTAACCCCTCCCCACCCAAACTCACCTTGCACTTCCCAAAGTATTTAATCTCTTCCATCTTGCACCATTTCCCAGGAAATCCCAAATCTTTGTTCTCATGAAGGTTCTCTCTTTTAACTGATAGTTTTCTATGGAAAGCAATGAAATGCTATGACTGTTCAACCCTGCTGTGCCTGCATTATGTAACACGAAGGGTAGAAAGTGATCTCGTTATTAGGCCAGTTTCACTCCACACAATAAATTAATTCCTGATCCCCAAAGCAAAGAAGGTGGCAGACATGTAGCTTGAGAAAAAGCCTTAGTGAGCCACTTCGCAGGAGTAAGCGATGTTCAGGACAGCTTGTGAGAGCTTTACGTACGGGAATAGAGGGGTGCATCACAGCCAAACAGAGGTCCTGTTCAGCCAAAAAGAAAATGCCCTGAAGAGCAGGGGTGAGAAGCAGTATAATTCTGTCTGTCTTAAGAAGAGTGTTTGTTAGGTTTTCTGCCACACACTTAAGGTCTTCTCTGGCCCTTCTTAAATACTAGTAAAAACATACCTGCTGCCTGCAGAGGACCTCTAGAAAACAAGAGTTGTCATATCTGGCATATATTGCAGTTATAACTGGAATATAATTTCATATAGTGTAAACAGTATCTGACATCTTCCAAATTAATCAATTTGGTAAAGTTGTGTGTTGCCCCATACTCAATCTGTTACTCAACTGGAGTTACTTGAATTTGAAAAAAAGAGGTGGTTTGACTGAAATTGCATCCCATGAACTATTTTGAAGAAGCACAACTAACTAATACCTGAATTTAACTTACAACTTTTTTAGCATTGACTATGAAAACTATTAAAAAATTGAACAAGATACAGAAGTTCAGTTCACACAGTTGCAGAATCTTCAGGCAGAGGATGTGAGCAAACTATCCCCCTTATCCTTCCAATAGCCTGATTCTAGAGATGGGAGCTTTTCTGGGATGTGGCTAGCAGAATTTTATGAGCATCTTTAAATAAATATGGCTTTGGTTGAGGGACAAAAATCTCTGTGAATACTTCATACATATTTTGCAGTCTATCAATATAAAGAAAATGCAAACTCTGCGCTATTTTTGCAGAGCTTATAAACTTGTAAACTCCAAAAAGTCTGTGAAGGGAACTTGACAGAGCTTGACAGTCAAGTGAGCTTGAAAATCCTAAAGATCAAAACTGCCTTTTTGAGGAGAAAACCCTGAAGACTTTACTTGTACGAAACAATGAACATTTTTAGGTGTCTCCTTACAGCGTTTTCAAGTCCTGCAAGTGCAGCCCGTCTTCGCATATTACGTGCTGAGATTTTGTATGTAGTATCTAACTAAAATAGGTAGATTTTGTTATAATCTATTGACTGTCTTCTCTAATGCAAATTTGTAGTGTATTGAAGTTTTGCCGTTTTCAAAGATAACACTAGGCTATCGTTACTCCTGTTTAGAATCAAACAATAGCTACCTGATAAGTCTCTTTGTCTGTAGTCCTATTAAACTGGTACTTTTAGGGAAATGAAATGGCTCCTATGTTTACTAGTTGCCATTGTGTAGCTTTTTTTGTGATCTAGCATGCCTGGAAACCTTTGCTATGAATTGGAATCTCATGGCACTGTACATAGGCCTAGACATGTGTATAGTAAAAGACAGTTTCTGCTTCAAAGAGATGGTAATCTGGGGGGTTTAATTTTTCCCAGAAATAGCTTTCTATAGGCATCTCTGTTCAGTCAAATTTTTTTTTGAAAAGGCAAATAAAAAGAGCTGTTTCTGCTTAGTTCTGATTTTGTCAGAAATGGAAAGCACCAGCAGATTTGTTGGGTTTTGAGCCCTGTTACTGCAACTGTAACTTCCATCCATTTGTGGGATGCTAGATATTTAACTTCTCTGATGTCTTTTTGTATTTGAAGCTTATGATTTTTTATGATTTCAGAATACAGTTTATTCATGCTTTCAATGAGCATTATCCATTGGAATTTAGATACTCTCAAAGTTGATACTTCTTTCCTATTTTTCCTCTATTTATCTATCTCTAATTTTCATCTTAAAATGACTTCACAGCAACATGCATTTAATGGCACTGTACCAAATCATGATGCCAGAGGAGTTTCAACAAAAATAATCTAAAACAGGAGCATTTCTTTCCTCCTTTCTTAGTACCTGTTGCCTCTGATGTACATCAATCAGCAGACTAGTATGATCAAGCTGCCCTAAATACCATCCCATTGGGTACCCATTACTCTACCAGTTACATTTCATTTAGGTTCCTTTATCTGGTTTCATTACTGTAGGGAACACTGAGCTCTTGATCTCTAGCTGCATATATTCATGCTTTAGAATGGTACTTAACTCAAGCTGACAAACCAGGTGGGCTATAGCATACGTGATAAATAAGCGTTTTGTTTGATATTCTCTATCAAGGACAATTTTCTGGCCAACTGGACGGTATGGAAAAATTCTTTACGTTTTTGGTTTAACAGAAGAAATATGTTACTGAAATATTCATTATTTAGATTCTTTAATTTTTAACTTTTAAGCTGGCTTCTTAAAGAAATTATACCTATGCAGCCTCACTGTCTGTTTAGTTTCTCCCTAATAGCTCTCGAATGCATTGATCTATTTAAACCAAATTTGATGAATTTAAATCTCAAAGATATGAAATTCCTACGTGGGACACATCTGCTGGAAACTATTTTTATTCTTCACAAAACAGCTTGATTACATTTAGGTTAAGTCCTTTTTTCCTTCTCAAATTAAAACCTGAAATTCAGAAAATATTTCACCATGCTCTTTGATCAAATGTAGAGGTTTTTTTCTTTCTAAATTAATTGGTTTTGAAAATGTAGAAACATGGCAGTACTTCACTTCAGTGGACAGGCCTTTTGTGATGCAGAAATGTTTCTGTGGACAATTTCTGACCAAGCACAGAAATAATTCAGAACAGAGCAGAGGATCTGAAATAGTTGTACCCTTTGGAGTAGCCCTGAGCCATGTTGAGTTCACATTAATTAGCATAATTTACTGTGGAGATGTAAAGTCGCTTTGGATAGAGTAAAGGGGCTTTTATTTTTCTCTTCTTGGCATGTGGCTTGCTTTGGGGAGGCGGGGGAGGTCAGAAGGAGAGGATGTGACCCTCCCCTTGGTGCCCCTTGAAGCCCATGTGTGATCTGTATCACAAGGTTGGCTTTTGCATATTTAGAGGCTGTGATCTGATAGCAAGGTACCACTTGGGGACGTGACACTATGCTTCAGGACGTGTGTTATTCCTGAATAGGGTGGTAGGACGTGTAGAGGTTAATGGAGAGGGAAAGATGCTGTGTTTTGCACTTGCCCAGCCTAACAGGAGGCGAGAAGTGGGCGGTGAGGGGAGGAACTACCCTGTGATGGCTGGAAAGAAGAGATGAGAGAATTCATTTGCATGCAAATGCAAATGGTGTGCATCACTTTCAGATCCTACTCTCCCTTTGAAGCTCAAGTGGCAACTCTTAGCGTTTGGACATTTCCTAGGTTGTGGGATTGCATTTTACTTTGTAATGACAGAACCAGAGGAAACAGGGCGGAGTGGAGCTTTGGTCACCTGATCTTTCCCAAAAAAGGCTTAACTACACCAAAACCGTTCTCAACTGATGCTTGTCCAACCTTCTGTTATAAACTTTGGCAAATACATTTTTGGGCCTTACAAGCCCTACCATTAGCAGTCTTTCCCCAGTGTTCAGCCTAGTATCCAGTTATATTTTGCAGCAGTTGAATTCTATAATTTCTTATGTATTTATTCCTTGTGTGGAGAACAGATTATTTATTTCCTCCTTGCAACAACTTTCAGTTGTTTGGATTACCACGACGTGCAATTCTTTGCTTCCAGATGTAATAACCCAATTCTTTCTGTCTTTTGCCATAACTCATGCTTTTCTAGACCTCTGATCTTTTTTTCGGTGATTCTTCTCCTATTCAATTGTCTGTCTTCATCAAAGTAGACCCAGCAATACAGTTGAAGCCTTTCCAGTAATAAGTAGAAAAAAACCCATTTTACAGACCAGTAAACACATGGGATCACATCCCCATGGGATATCTGTTTGTTTCAAAACAGCATTACAGTGTTAATTCTTTAAGTGTATGAGCCAATATAAATTTCAGTCTTTTCTGAAGAATGTTCAAGAAGTTGTTTCTCCTTCTCTGTGTAGTTTGACTGTGGAATCTTGTCTTTAAACTTTCTGAATTGTAT